AGAGATGAAAACTGATTTACACTATGGGAGATCTTTTTTCTATCTATGCCCTATCTGTGATGTGAGTTGGTTGCTGGCTGCATTATCCATTTCTATACTGGAGGGGACCTGGCTTTTTCTCTTGAATGCTGAGGGGGATATCACCAGTCTGGACGGGTATCTACTGCGCGAGGGAGCCTAACTATAGAAGATCCCTGGTTTGAATTCCAATAAGCGATTTGGCCCTTATAAGGTCGTTTCAAGGAGGTGAGGAGGTGAGGAAGCAATTTAGCCACACACGGATTATTTCAAATTGGTGGTTATGCACATCCACAATATCACTTGCACTTAAAAGCGTTTGGAATATTTTAGGTGTTCACGCACCTTTTGGACTTTTTTTTTTTTCTTCCTTTTGCTTGGACTACTGTATTTCATGTGATTATCTATGTTGATGTGATTGTAATATTTACCACATCCTTTCAATTTTTATTATTTATTTGATATAATTTCTTGATATGTTATCACGGCACTTGTCCCCATTGTGAAATTTGATCCCAAATTTAGGGATCCACTCAATGTCACTTTGTTGTATATACTGTATATGACTTAATATAGCCATTTTCTTTCTGGTCACTACTACACGAGTATATTTATCCCATTTAGGGATTCACTTTATTATTATTTTTCACATTTATGGTCCCATTTGGACTGTCTGTTATCACTGGTTCCTGGTCTTGATACCAGGTGAGATCACATTCAATTTCTCACCATAGGTCCCACAGAGGATCAATTCACTGATTATTAGCCATTGTGGTATTTATTCACTTTGCACATTTTTGCCTATTGTATTATACATTGTGTTATATGATTATATTTAGGGTAGCGCTGCACCAATTTATTTATTTCCACTTGGTATATGGTTAGGTGTTAGCAGCTCCCCCGTATTAGATTTATTGCTTAAATAGTAGCGCAGGAGGTTTCTGTTGGAGTAATAAGTGTAGTCTTTCCCCCCAGGGTGGAGCTCACGCCACAAGTCTACCAAATCATGAGGCCATAAACTTTGAGCAAAAGATTTGGCTGCAGTGGATGGATTAGAGTCCTCTGGGGGATACTTATCAAGGACAGGATTCAGCACTAAATTGGAGTCCCAACTACCAGAAGAGCACCTCGTTGGTGGGGAGCAGACATGCAATAAGAAAGGTTCAGGATTAATGTTGGGAGCATAATATGTCAAAAGTGTGACGTCTACATCCTGAATTGTACCCTGTAATAAAAGATACCTACCATTTGGGTCCTCAATACACTTCACACAAACAAATGGGGTTTTCTTATGGAAAGCAATGAGGACTCCCCTTTGTTTTGTAGGGCCAGTAGCCTGAAAAACCTAAGGGTAGTGGGCATCAAAATACTTTGGCAGAAAAGTGAGTTTCCTGTAGACAAGCAATATCCACGCGGCGAGTCCGGAGGATCTTAAATATCTTCACTCTCTTTTAGGGGCAGTTCACACCCTGAACATTCAGGGACAACCAATTTATATCGACATGATAACCGAAAAAGAAAAGGATAGCCTCCATCCCCAGCAGCCCTGAAAAAAATAAGGTGAAAACATGAGGTACACAGAACAGCAGACCAGAAAAAGGAAAAAAAAGGCAAGGAAGGAGACAAAAAAAAACATCTTGTATACAAGCAATATACATTTGACACAATAAGATCAGCACAAACAGCATAACAACCAGTTGTGGGGGATAAACCCATATGTAAGCTGGGTAGCGGGTAGGACAATGGTCCAATCTGCACACCAGCTTGAGAGGGGATGCAATGGCCCACCAGAACTACTCAGCTTAACTAAAACAAAAAATTATTTACCAAACAGCATAAGCTAAGTTACTCCACTATCTAGTAATCATCAGAAGGTGATTAAGGCCATATGAACTGCAGTTAATGAGCGACACAGAGGCGGGTAAAAACCCAGGATAGCCATATGCGTGAGACCGCTCATGGGTCCAGCCCAATAAGCAGGGTCACGCCCACAGCAGAATATCCACCTCAGGTGTCGCCCATCATCTGCAAGAAAAGTGGGGACAACTTAAGCAAAGCTAACATGTCCACAAGGGCCTAGGCCCCAGTAAAAGAGGTAATATATCACGTGAATGCACAGAAGCTGGAGATTAACAAAATAGAATGCTTGAGAGCAATGTCGCCCGTACTGCTAAAATGGAAAAAAGTAGGAAATTCAGCAGGATACACATTGATAGCTCGCGGAGACTTCCTGGAATCGTTGAGCCTGAAGGGTTTGAAGAGCTTGAGGGCTGTTTTGACTCAAGGGAGGTGACTTGCATGAAGATTGAGATCCCCGCAAACGTGCAGGGATAGAGGCCTCCTCATCCTGGGATGGTGGCCAGTCAAATTTCAATTCCTGGAAGTGACGACGAAGATCCGTTGGAGAAGAAGCCTGGAATTGACAACCTTGGTAGGAGAAGGAGAGCTTAAACGGAAAGCCCCATCTATATTTGATATCAGCTGACTGTAGAATTTGTAGGTAGGGTCTCAGGGTACAGCGTTTTGCTATTGTGACTGCAGACAAATCATCAAACAGCTGAAGGGAGTTACCCTGGAATTCCAATGTTGGTCGGTTTCAAGCCGCCTGCAAGAGGCGTTCTATAGTGCGCTAATAGTGGAACCTAATAATAATGTCCCTTGGGGGGCCCTCCGTGCGTTTGGGGACTAGAGCTCTGTGAATACAATAAAATTCCAAATGTTCCAGAGGGATCTCAGGAGCCAGTTCCTTAAAGAGGGCAGTAGCAGTACCCTGTAGCTCAGTTACCGCTTCAGGTACTCTACGAATGTGGAGGTTATCTCTACAGGCCCTATTCTCTTTATCTTCCAATTTATCTTTTAAGTTGTCCAACTGTGCGTGTAAATCCTCCACTTCCTGCTCATGACCTTCCAAGACTGTAGTCACCAGATCCATACGCTGTTCTAATTGATGAGCAGGTTGGCCCAATTCCTTTAAATCTTTTATCAGATCGGAGGACAGCTTGCGAGATGCAGTTGTAATCTCTTCTCGCACAATGGAGCTGAATTTATGTAAACTAGAACTGGAGGGGAACTGGTGCTGACTGTCCTCACCTGAGTCTGGATCCCCTGAAAGTCACATGATCTCATCGGGCTCAGGGGGGCTGGACGCCATCTTGTCGGACTTCCAGGGCAGAAAGTCTTTTTGCTGGGCCCGGTGTTTGGGCTTATTGCCCAAGGTGCGATGCATCTTCGAGCATATACCAGGTATTCCGCAAACACCTGCTATCTTTTGTACCAGTGCATGGGGATTGGAAGCCTGATATGCCAAGGTAAATGTTCTGGTGGCAAGGGACAGTGACATCAAATGGACATCAAACCTGCCCTCGCGCTTGCGTCCCCCAACGGGGGTACTTTTACATAGGGATAATCTCTACAGGGCAGTCCATGCATCTCACCAAAGGCTTGAAATTGTAGAAGAGATTATCACAGCTGGAAATAGGGGGGGTGGGGGGGGTAGGTGCAGGTCGCCCCGCAGAGCCTCTGGACCAGGTCAGTCTTCTTCCCAACAAGGGAGAGCACGCGGACTCCTTTGAGCGCAGGCCCCAACAGGATTATGGGTTCCTTTGCATGATACAGGGGAAGCTGAGGATGTCACATTCCCCCAGCAGCAGCTCACCTATCCGGGTCTCCAGCTATGCCTGGGTGCAGAGTAAGGTAGGTCTGGGCTTTGTGTAGGCCACACCTGGCCTTGCAGGCCACAGTATGCCTCGATCTGTGTATGGGGGACCAGCCGGCCTGGATCTCCCCTCCAGGTAATAGCCCCAGCCAGCGGGGGTCTCCGATGTCGGTGGGACCCAAACCGCTGGCCCGGGTACAGTGTCGGCCTCGCATAGGCCACGACGGGCCTCGTAGGCCACAATCCACCAGGACCGTGGGCTGAGGTCAACCTGACCCAGGTCACCTCAGCAGGCAGTGGCCAACCTCCACAGGGACCCCGCTGTGTCCAGGATGGACTAAGATTCTGATAAAAGGTAGCGGAGCTCTCCTCCTAATGCATCCACTCCCACCGCCATCTTGGACATCCCCCCAGCATACATAGTTTCAGTGGCAAACTGATAAGAATTTTTTTTACATGATGACTGAAAGAGTCGATATAGCAGTGAAATGCCTTCCTTGGAGTTGCCATCTCCTGGACATCTGACTTCAAATACCATTCTCAAAGTGATATGCTCTGTTTGGCTTTGACATTGAGAGCTTCCAATTTATATGGTTTAACTCGTAGACCCAATATGGCACCAAATTCACACAAAAGTTGTAAAAGATTAGGGAGGGTCATAATGGGTGAGGTCACAAAGAATAAGAGATAATCCATGAAGAGAGCACATTTTTTGCTGTATTCCTGCACTCTGTATTCCATGAATATTGGGATCTTGTGATCTTCGCAATCACTAAAGTTTCAATTGTGATAACGAACAATAAGGGCAATAACGGGCAGCCCTGTCCAGTGCCTGTGTGTATGTGTATAAGCTTGGACCTATACGCAGTAAAAATGGTATGCACGGGAGGAGGGGGGGGTTAAGTAGAGAGTATGTAATAATTGGGTAAAGGTTGGGCCAAAATTCCAATGGTGCAGAACCTCGAAGGGCCAGGATATGGATTCAAAGGCTTTATTGTTATTATTATTATACAGGATTTATATAGTGCCAACAGTTTGCGCAGCACATTACAAAATGAAGGTAGACATAACAGTTACAATACAATTTGGTACAAGAGGAAACAGAGGGCCCTGCTTGTTAACTACTTGCCAACCGCAGATAGCTGAATGACGGCTACACTGCGGGCCGGCCAGTTCTGGGAGGGCGTCACATGACGTCCTCCCAGAACGCGCTCTCCTGCGCGCCCCCTGGGGCTCGCACCCCGGCGATCTCCGTGATCGCTGTGTCCTACGGACACAGCCGATCATGTGATGTGGTAAAAGGCCATTCACAGCGGACTTTTACCACGTGATCAGCCGTGTCCAATGACACGCTGATCACCGGGAAATGAAATCGCCGGTTCTCGGCTGCACTTTCCTCACGCTGTCAGAGCGTGAGGAAATTACTGCTGAGAACCGGCAGTTGTCAGAGCAGGGAATTGCACTGATCATCAGGGCACTGATGATCAGTGCCCTGATGATCGGTGCCCAGCAGTGCCACCCACCAGTTCCACCCACATGTGCCCATCAGTGCACCCACCTGTGCCCAGCAGTGCCCAGCAGTGCCACCCAGCAGTGCCACACACCTGTGCCCAGAAGTGCCACCTACCTGTGCCCAGCAGTGCCACCCACCTGTGCCCACCCACCTGTGCCCACCAGTGCCACCCACCAGTGCCCATTAGTGCAGTCCAGCAATGCTGCCAGTCAGTGCCACCAGTCAGTGCCCAGCGGTTGTGCCAGTCAGTGCCACCTATCAGTGCCGCCTATCAGTGCCGCCTATCCATGCCACCTCATTAGTGCTGCCTATCACTGCCCTTCAGTGCTGCCTATCAGTTCCCATCAGTGCTGCCTATCAGTGCCCATCAGTGCTGCCTCATCAACGCACATCAGTGAAGGAGAAAAACTACCTGTTTGCAAAATTTTATAATAGAAACAAAGAAACATTTTTTTTTTCAAATTTTTTGCTATTTTTTTGTTTATAGCGCAAAAAGTAAAGTGCCCAGCGGTGATTAAATACCACCAAAAGAAAGCTCTATTTGTGAGAAAAAAAATTATAAAAATTTCATATGGGTACAATCTTGCATGACCGCGCAATTGTCAATCAAAGTGCGACAGCACTGAAAGCTGAAAATTGGTCTGGTAAAGAAGGGGGTATAAGTGCCCGGTAGGCAAGTGGTTAAAGCTTACAGTCTGGGAGCTTTATAAAGGTCTAGGAACAGTAGTATACCTTATCGAGGCACAACCCCATCCCAATTGGACCAAAACAGTGAGACAATATTCAGTGCCCTTCTGATTTGGTCTTCTGCTTGACGCTTAGGCACAAACCTCACTTGATCTCTATGGATGTTGGATTCTTTAAAATGTTTGAGTCTACTGGCATAGATTTTTGTTAGCAACTTTAAATCGTTGTTGATCAGGGAGATGGAGCTATAGTTTTTTTCATGTTGCTATGCCCTTAATCAAGTTTGGGCAACATGCATATCATGGCTTTGTTATATTCCGCATCCAGGGGACACCGTCCCGGAAGGCGTTGTAGAGTTTTTGTAAATGAAGGGCCAATAATGAATTTTTTGTAATATTGCACAGAAAAGCAGTCTGTGCCCAGTGATTTAGATGGTTGGGCCTGTTTGATAAACATGCAATATTTTTTCCATAATGGTCAGTGATCCGTTTTGAGGAGCTCCCTGTGGGAGTCAGTTAAGGAGGGTATCTGAAGACTGTCCAGGAAAGATGTCATCCTTCTCTCGGAAACAGTCTCAGGGGTAGTATAAATTTCTGAGTATTAGTCATGGAATCATGGAACAGTTGTAGAACTCTCTAATGGTTCTATGTGAATGAGCCATCCACCTTTCTCAGTTTTGGAACAGCCATATACCAAGGGCATGGGGTGAGTTTCCTGGCCAGTAACGTGCCAGAATGGTCAGCTTGAATATAGTATTTCATGAATGGCCAGCAGAGACTTTGTTCTGCTTTAGTGGTTAGGCATACATTAAGTTGTAATTTAGCAGAATCAATCTTGTCTCTGAGATCAAGGTGGGGTTCTTTCTCATGTGCTCTGAGAAGGTCCTGCAGAGTTTGTTCTTTTAGATTAAATTTGTTCCTCTGAGGCCTTATTCAATCTGGATGACATTTTGATGATTATCCCTTGGACCGTTGCTTTGTAGGCTGCCCAATTGATGATAGCAGAAGTAGTGGAAGGATCATTGTGTTCAAAGAACTGTTCTATCTGCAAGTCATTACCAAATCATACAGAAGTATTACTTAAAGGAGAGTCATTCAGCCTCCAAAAGGCCAGTCATGAGGATTTGCGAAGGGAGGTGAAAATCACTATGACTGGCAAGTGGGCTGACCAGGAGACATTGATCATTTTACTAGATTGAAATGCTGGAACATCAGAGGAGGTCATGAATAGCTGGTCTATATGAGAGTATTGTTTATCAGCCTTTTGGCTAAGATCAAGTGTACAATCTGTTCTTATCAGTGTCCAGAAGGGGTGCTCCACCATCATTCTTGCCTTTAGGCGAGGATGGCTGGCTGTATAGTATCCCTGCTGGTATGATGGGGGCTCTGAAGGTTAGTACCGGCTGGAAGAGAAACCAAGGTGCCCACAAGCTGTTGGGGACCAGGAGTAATTCCCCCGGGAAAATTGGAGGGACCCATTTCCTCCTGATTTGAATCTATCTACCTTGTCTGGCCAGGGGTCGGAGAGGCAGAGGGTCCACAGAGCAGTGCCCCCTGAGAGTAGTTGCCTCAGGGGTGCTCTTAGTAGCACATGGGGGTGGGATCCCAATTGTAAAAAGTGCACATGGTCACTTTTCTAAACACATTTTCTGCACTCCGCCTTTTAAGGCTAGGCCTTTTGGCTAAGTCCAGCGCAGTTTTTTTGCTATGGGCCTCAGAGCCTAGCCAGTGCACAATTGCACGGCCCACTTATTTATTAATTTATTTTTCTCCCACCGTTTTGTCACCTTTCATTTCTGTGTGTGTTTTTTCTCACTAGAATGGAGGGTGTGGGTCCTGGGGCCTGCCCTGAAGTCTAGGGGGAGGATGCATGGCCATTAGATTCCTTCCTCCCCTGTTTCTGGAGGATCTCTCTTTGGGAGAGCTTCCTGACCTAGTACTTGGTGGTTTGCTTCGGCTAGCCACAAGGAACGGGGTCCACCAGGCCTTTTGGCTAGGTGGACCATGTGGAAACCTTTGTCCCTGTCAGGAGCCTTGCATCCAGGGGGATCAGGGTAGAGGTCCTACCCCTTCAGAGGGTGGACTAAAGCACACCCTTATGTGCACTTTTTTGTGTTTGTGTTTTGCACTTTCACGATTTTTGTTCACTTATGGGTTTTTGTTTTTCGCACCTTCATGGATTTGAAAAAAAAAAGTATGAGAGTAGGTTCTAGGTTTTATGCAAGTGGGAATAATACATATAGGTTTTTTTAGAGGCATTGAATTCCCACCAAATGTCAATTATACCATGGTGGTGCAGTATCCAGACAAATATTGTGCGTATCTTTGGGGTGAAGATGAGATTCATTTAGACTTATTGTAGAGGGAATATAGTGTTACTTTGGAGTCTCCCCCAATAAGAACCATACCCTCAATCTCTGGAAGCAAACTATTAAATATGGTGCAGAAAAATGGGCGTTGGCCTGTGTCGGGGGGCATAATAGGAAATAATGGTTACTAATGAGTCCTCCAATGTGCGCCTAACCAGAAGGAATCTGCCTGCTGTACCTCTGATCAGTTTGACCATAGTGAAGTATACACATTTATAGATACACATAGCCACTCCGCCTTTCTTATTGCCTCCAGTCAAATAGAAATGGGAGAAATGTTTATGTAGGAAAACAGGATTATACGAGGAGAGGAGTTGTGTCACCTGTAAAATAAGAATATCTGCTCCAAGTGAGTGATAGTGTTGGAAGGCTTTCCATAAGAAAAGTGAGAAGTCTCCTGTGAAGAAAGAAAGCATAATAAAACTAGGCAAGTACTGAAACCTACTGTCAACAATATGCTGAAACGTGGATGAAAGTACACAACTCTTAATGGTCACAAGTGTCAAAATAATACTTGGCACCTAGTCTGCTTTCAGTCCAAATGCCTAGGAGGGGAACAGAGTCAAACAGGTGTGCAATGCTGCCACAAACAGCCATAGCTGAACAAAATTGCAGAAGGAAAAGAAAAACATTCTACAATGAGGAAGGTTGAGTACTGGTGATCTATCCAGTAGGGCTTGTGGAACTCTCTCAAGTTCCACAAAACTGCATTGGCATAATGACATAACCAGAGGAGCAGGAAGTGTGAGCAGAGATTGCAATGCTGGTTCTCCACTTCTGAAAGATGTCAGCAAGGGAAATGGATGTTTGACTCAAGAGTGTAAAGGGCAGCCTGTAATTGCTACTAGGAACAAAACAATATAAGAACAAATCTTGTGTCAGCATATTGATGTACCATTGAGGTACAGTATCTGTTGTATCCTGGTGACATTGAGGGAATTAAAACTAAATGACAGACCAACCAAATTTTCTGAATCACTTGACTTTTCTTATCACTGCCAATAGATCAATTGAGCATTATCCAGTTTTCAATTATGTGAAGACCTAGTGTTAATGTCTGTTACTGAGATTTGAATTTTCCTTTTTACTTACTTGGATGCCTTAAAGTGGGGGTTGGCATCACATAGATAGCAATCTATCTTTTGACCATGTACATGAAACAGCTGTTTTATGACCCCACTGTACACTGTACAGCCAGTTCCTAACTCTAAGCTACTCCTTGGCTCTGAGGTGCCTTTACACCCACATGAACTTTAATGGCATCCCAGTCTTAGTCCATAGGGTTCATTATTGAGTTGGCCCAATCTTTGCAGCTATAAAAGCTTCAACTCTTCTGGGAAGGATGTCCATAAGGTTTAAGAGTGTTTCTATAGGAATGTTTGACCATTCTTCCAGATGCTCATTTATGAGGTACTGATGTCGGATGAGAAGACCTGGCTCACAGTCTCCACTCTAACTCATCCCAACGGTGTTCTATCATGTTCAGGTCAGGAGTCTGTGCAGGCCAATGAAATTCCTCCACCCCAGACTCGCTCATCCTTGTCTTTATTGTCTTGTTTTGTGCACTGGTGTGCAGTCATGTTGGAACAGGAAGGGGCCATCCCCAAACTGTTCCCACAAAGTTGGGAGCATGAAATTGTCCACAATGTTTAGGTATGCTGACACCTAAGAGTTCCCTTCACTGGAACTAAGGGACCAAGCCCAACCCCTGAAAAACAACCCTACACCATAATCCCTCATCCACCAAACTTTACAATTGACACAATGGAGTCAGGAAAGGGCTGTTCTCCTGGCAACCATCAAACCCAAACACTTTCATCGGATTGCCAGACAGGGAACTGTGATTCATTACTCCAGAGAACACATCTTCATTGCTCTAGAGTCCAGTGGCGGCATGCTTTACACAACTGCATCCGATGTTTTGCATTGCATTTGGTGATGTAAGGCTTGGATGCAGCTGCTCAGCCATGGAAACCCATTCCATGAAGCTCTCTACGCACTGTTGTGCTAATCTGAAGGCCATGCAAAGTTTGCAGGTCTTTAGATATTGACTCTGCAGTCTGTTGATAACTTGTGCGCACTGTGTGCTTCAGCATACACTGATCCCTTTCTGTCATTTTACATGGCCTACCACATCGTGCCTGAGTTGCTGTTGTTCCCAGTTGCTTCCACTTTGTTATAATGCCACTAACAGTTGACCATGGAATATTTAGTAGCAAGGAAATTTCACGGATGGACCTATTGAACAGGTGGCAGCCTATCACGATACCATGCTTACATTTACTGAGCTCCTGAGCTTGACCTTTTATTTCACACATTTTAGTAGAGGCAGTCTGCATGCCTAGCTGCTTGATTTTATACACC